AGCACAGAAAGGGGCGCAGCTGTGCGAGACAGGCAGAAGTGTCTGTGCCCATTAGAGAATATTCCCTTTGACTGCCTGGAATGATTCCTGAGTCTCATCACTCCTCTTCAGTCACCAGCTATTTGTGAACCCTCCTCCCCCTGTCTCATGCTGGTGTACAGAGACCAGTGTACTGTTGCTACCAGTTACTGTTAGCTCAAGGGGCTGAAAGGGGCGCAGCTGTGCGAGACAGGCAGAAGTGTCTGTGCCCATTAGAGAATATTCCCTTTGACTGCCTGGAATGATTCCTGAGTCTCATCACTCCTCTTCAGTCACCAGCTATTTGTGAACCCTCCTCCCCCTGTCTCATGCTGGTGTACAGAGACCAGTGTACTGTTGCTACCAGTTACTGTTAGCTCAAGGGGCTGAGGTCTCTGCAATGGAAAACACGGTTACCTTTTGTAACTGGTGTTCTTTGAAATGTGTTGCTCATGTTCATTCCAAGTTAGGCGTGCACACTCTGTGCACAGTTGATGGGAAGCTTTTTCAATAGCAGGATACTGTAGGTCGGTAGGGAGACCCCTAGAGGGGCACCAGTATGACTAGGTATATAGCACCTTGATGACTGTTCCCTCCTTCAGTTCCTTCTTGCTGGAAGTGATTCCGAAAGAGGGGAGAGTGGGACGGTTTTGGATGGACAAGAGCAACACATCTCGAAGAACACCACTTATGGAAGGTAATTGTCTTTTTTCTTCGAGTGATTGCTCATACGCATTTCAAGTTAGGTGATTCCCAAGCTGCTATCCAGCGGAGAGGTCGGCGATCACTAGTCTGCAACACAGCATTCCCAAACGCAGCATCACTCTAGTCTGATGTTGGATGACATAGTGGGATGTAAACACGTAGACCAAGGACCCCATGGCTGCTCAACAAATGTCTTGGACAGGGACATGCATAAGAAAGGCCGTTAATTAGGCCTACACCTGGATCGAATGGGCAGACGATTGAAGGAAAAAGCTTCACAGCAACTGTGCATGTAGCGCGCACAAACCTAACTTGGAGTGTTCATGAGGAATCACTCAAAGAAGAACTAAAGGGTCCAGTCCTGCTGATGACCCAAGTGGATATAATCATGATGCCATATGATGGACTTTCCCTTTTTTCAGTTGGCTTTAAAAAAACAAACAAACCCTTAGGAAATTGTAACAAAGAAAAACTAAGCTGAAAGAACATTAGGCTGAGTAACTCACTTCATTTTGCCTCATTTTTAGCAAATGCTTAATAAGGCTTTTCTAGTGCACTAGAGAATGGTGGGGACTGATTGGTTTGTGGCCCAGATGCAAGCCCCACAGGATTGCAAGTGTGGGCACTAGCAGTTCCGTTTGCAAGGCAAGTGTCAGTGTCTGTAAAGCACTATTTAAATGCCATGTATTATCAGTCAGTTATGCACAGTTGTGCAGTCGTTTCTGAAATGTGCTGACTTCCTAGAACTCTTGTGCCTTATTAATAAACAGATCCCTGAAGATCACAGTGCCACTGTCATGAAAAATAGCACTTGTTTCAGGGACCTTTAGGGGTCTTTTTATAAGCCTTGTGTAATAATTCATTCAGAGTGGGCGTTTTGATGTCAAAAAGTAACCAGGAGCCAGAGGACTACCAAATGTTCTGACACTTTCTCCTGTGCTCCAGGCCTTGTGCTGCTGACATTGGGCATCTAACCCTGTGACTCTAACGTGCAGAGGCTTATCCTGTTATCAGGACAGCAGCTGGACAACCTTGGTGTCATTAAAGTGACTGTGCAAAGTCTGTTTGGATAAACCCAGAGGGTTGTTTGCTGGACAAACAGCATATGATGGGAGTCCACCAATCCCCATAGATCTCTTTACTGGCCAACTGCTTCTGTCAAAAAAGGAGAGGTTATTAAATCCCTACCAAGGGGGTTCTCTTTCATTTGTATTTGGAAGAGTCCCCCAATTTCAGAGGAGGCTTCTCTGTCCAATTATGAAACTTTCCACTGTGCTAGTTCTCTGCTGTGTTTTTTTCTCTTGCAGAGCCAGCCCTGTCCCAACTGAGGATGCAGGCTGTGATGACCCTGATGTCACTGAAGCTGTGGAAATAGCACTGACAAAATATAATGCAGACAAAAAAGATGGCAACCAGTTTGCTCTGTACATGGTGATGGAAGCAAAGAAAACAGTAAGTAAACTTTGGAAAAAGCATCTTTGTACTTTTTCCTTATGGCCAGATTCGGCCCACCTCCATTATGGGGAATCACACCTTGGTCTGCATGTTTCAATGCAATCAAAGCAACTGGTGGCAGAGCAAGATATTAATACTCATGGAAACAAGTAGCAGAATCTAGTTCTGTATATTTCTGCTGTTCCTGATTAATACTGAGCCCTTACTCACACCGGTAAGCAGTTCCTGTCAGTTTGATTACTCGTGCCAGAAAATGCTCACCAATGTGAATAAAGGTTTAAAAATCTGGCCCCATGGAGAAAAAGAAAATTTTAAATTCTTGTAGCTAGGTTGAGGCAAGTACTAAAAGATCTCTGAGCAGTTTTTTCATAAAACTCAAGGGGACTACTCAAGGAGCAATGAACTACTCCACATGAGCCGTGGCATCAGAATTTGGCTCTTTCTTTGCACTGTATGGCAGTACCTTCTCTTGGACTATTAAAGGGAATTGGATTGCAGAACTAAGTTAGGAAACTTGGTTTCTTTTCACTGCTTAACAACTGACCTAGTGTTGTCTCCTTACCAAATTACTAGTTGGAAATGCTAACATTGACCCATCATGGGGAAATCTTTGAGGCCTATGTCAGAAGCATACTAATTTATTAACAAAAACGTGTCTTGAAGAGCTGGTTGCAATGTGGAAAATATATCTGCAAATAATTGATATGGCAAATGACAGAAAGATTCTGAATTACTTATAAATGTTATTTGATGGTCTCCAGGCCTGAGTCCTGAATCTACCCACAACATCAGCTCTTACTGGTATATAGTGATAAGTCTAACAAAAGAGCACTTAATCCCGAGAGCCACACAATGGGGATGTTAGTAAAATGAGAACGATCAGCCCTACTTGAGTTGGGAACTACACTGATGTCTTTCTACTGCATTGGATTTTAAATTGTAGATCATCAGAAACAATATATTAATAAGAATATTTATCACTCAAAGATCTCAAAGCACTGTCTATCTTGTGGGGGAAAGAAAGGGAGGAGCAAGAAGGGAGGACTGCAAAGCCTACAAAAGAGATTTCATAGAATCATAGGACTGGAAGAGACCTCAGGACATCATCAAGTCCAAACCCCTACCCAAAGCAGGACCAACCCCAACTAAATCATCCCAACCAGGACTTTGTCAAGCTAGGACTAAAAAACTTCAATGGATGGAGATTCAATCACCTCTCTAGGTAACCCATTCTAGGCTGTGTCCAGACTCAGGGGTTTTTTCGAAAAAAGTAGCCTTTTTTCGAAAAAACCTCACCTGCGTCTAGACTGCAGCCGCGTTCTTTCGAAATTAAATCGAAAGAACGCGGCTTTTCTTTCGATGGCGGTAAACCTCAATTTACGAGGAAGAACACCTTCTTTCGAAAGTTCCTCTTTCGAAAGAAGGCGTTCTTGAATGTAAATAGGGCTTCTTCGAAAGAGAGCATCCAGACTCACTGGATGCTTTCTTTTGAAAAAGCAAGCCGCTTTTTCGAAAGTTCAACGTGCAGTCTAGACGCTCTCTTTCGAAAGAGGCTTGCAGTCTAGACATAGCCCTAATGTTTCACCACCCTCCCAGTGAAATCATTTTTCCTAACATCCATCCTAAACTTTCCCTCTTCAACTTGAGACCATTGCTCCTTGTTCTGCCATCCGTCAATACTGAGAACAGCCTTTCTCCATCCAGATTTGATCTGGTCTTATTGCTTTTTCTAAATATAGTCTTGATTTCCCTTATCACCAGTCTTCCACTGTTGTATTCATCAATTAAATGGCTTCTGATTACACTTTTATGTACATTAATCGTTGATCAGATAATTAAACATAAAGGATGGCTACTGAAAAACTGAGCCTGCCCTGATTAAAAACCTAGCTAGTAGCCATTATTATGAAATAAAATAACAAACAATGTGACATAAGGAGCCAATCCTTTCTCTCATTTACATCTGTTACTCGCTGACGTAAAGTTATTCCAGATTTACAACAATGTAACAGACAGCAAAATATGGGCCATTCCAGGCTAGATCCTCAACTGGTGTAAATTCGCATAGCTCGATTAAAGTCATAGAATCATAGAACTGGAAGGGAAAGTCCAGGACCCTGCACTCATGGCAGAACCAAGCAGCATCTAGATCTTCCCTGAGAGGTCTAACCTGCTCTTAAAAGTCTCCAATGATGGAGATTCTGCAACCCTAGGCAATTTTGTCCAGTGCTTAACCACCCTGACCATTAGGAAGTTTTTCCTAATGTCCAGCCTAAACCTCCCTTGCTGTAATTTAACCCCCTTGCTTCTTGAACAATCATGAGCTGTTAAGAACAATTTTCCTCTCTCCTCCTTGTAACAATATTTTATGTACTTGCAAACGCTTACCATGTCTTCTCTCAGTCTTCTTTTTTCCAGAATAAACAAACCCAAGTTTTTCATCTTCCCTCATAAGTCTTGTTTTCTAGACCTTGAATAATTTCTGTTGATCTTCTCTGAACTTTTTCCAATTTCTCAATATCTTTCCTGAGATGTGGCACTGAAAACTGGACACACTATTCCAGTTGGAACCTAATCACCATAGAGTATAGCAGAAGAATTATTTCTCATGCTTGCAACACTCCTGCTGATACATCCCAGAATGATATGATATGTGCAGTGGAGGGTGGGGTTGCAATAGTGTTACACTGTTGACTTATATTTAGTTTCCTATCCACTATCCCCCCCAGATTCCATTCCACATTTCTTCTTTCTAGGCAGTCAGGGTATGTCTACACTACCCTGCTATTTCGAACTAGCGGGGTAATGTAGGCATACCGCAATTGCAAATGAAGCCCACGAGGAGTAACGGTAGTTCGAACTAGGAAGCCTAGTTCGAACTACCTAGTTCGTGCCGCGTGTAGCCGCGCGGCACGGGGTTCGAACCAGCCGGGATTTAAAAATGGCGGCGCCCGGCTTATGCAAATGAAGCCCGGGAAATTCAAATCCCGGGCTTCATTTGCAATTGCGGTATGCCTACATTACCTTCCTAGTTCGAAGTAGGAGGGTAGTGTAGACATACCCTCACTTCCCATTTTGTAATTGACTGTTCCTAACTGGAGTACTTTGCATTTGTCCTTGTTGAATTTCATCCTATTTACATCAGATGATTTCCCAGTTTTCCCTGATCATTTTGAATTTTAATCCTATCCTCCAAAGCACTTGCAACCTCTCCCAGCTTGATACAGTCTGCACACAGGGTCATCTTTACCCATATGCAGAATACGCAGCTACATAGGGCATCTGAAAATTTGGGGCACCACTGGGTCTTAATGTCCATTCACCTGTCCCTTCCTATCTGTGTTCTTTGGCTTTGCTTCCTCTGCAGAAGATCTAGTTAAAAAGTTAAAAAGCCTGCTAGACCTATTAGCAGAACGTTGAGCGGGTAAAAGAGCTATTCAGTTGGTAATGAAGCTATTTAAAAAGTGTTTGCAGCCCGGGGTATATACTAGTTTGTGAATTTACTGTATTAGTGGACAGGATGTCCATTTAAAAATTGTTTTAAAAACATCTTTGTCCACAAAAGCTTATGCTCAAATAAATCTGTTAGGATATGTCTATACAGCAAATTTATTTTGAAATAACAGCCGTTATTTTGAAATAACTTTCCTAGCGTCTACACAAGCCAACTGCCATTTCGAAATTAATTCAAAATAGCGGAGGGCTTATTTCAAAATTGGCAAACTCATTCCATGAGGAATAGTGCCAATTTCGAAACTGCTATTTTGAAATAAGCGCTGCATAGACGCTTATTTCAAAATAGGGGGCCTCCAGCCCTTCCCAGGGTGCCCTGCTGGCCGCCCTGGCCACAAGGTAACTTCTGACCTCATGCCCTGCCGGAACCAGTTCTTGCTGGACTTAAATGTGATTCAGCATCCAATCAGTGTGGACGCGCTATTTCAAAATAGCAAACAGCTATTTTGAAATGCATCTTGTGTGTAGACGCATTATTTCGGAATAAGATATTTCGAAATAACCATGTCAAAATTAGATATTTTGAAATAACGCTGTAGTGTAGACATACCCTTAGTCTTTAAGGGTACATCTACACAGCAGCGTTATTTCGGAATAACTGACGTTATTCTGAAATAACATAGTGCATGCCTATACTTCAAGCCTTTATTTTGAAATAATGTCAAGATGGAGGACTTCTTACTCCAAATCATGGTAACCCTCATTTCATGAGGAGTAAGGGAAGTCAGAGGAAGAATGTCCCTTCTTCGACTTCCTGCTCTGTAGACAGCACCAACAGCCGAATTAAGCTATTTTGACTTCAGCTACACAAATGACATAGCTCAAGTTGCATAGCTTAATTTGACTTTAGCCCTGCTGTGTACACGTAAGGTGCCACAGTACTCCTTGTGGTTTTTGCAGACAAATAACATGACTCCCCCTCTGATAAAGTGCCTTCTAATACCACCTGAGGACATTGATTCACCAAATCTGGAGAGTGGAAGGAAGTGCCTCCCACCCTTCTACCAACCAGGCCCAACTATAATAAATAAAGGCTGACACAAGCACAATCGAATGGCGGGGAAAGGCACAGCCTTCCCAAATACCCAGGCATGACCACACCCACACTCCTCCCCCAGAATGCCTATTGCTTCAGTAGTGCTGTTCCTGGGAGCCATGGTGAAGCAATAGGTGTTCCTGGGGCAGAGTGTTGCTGCCTCCAGACTTCAGCCATGCTGAGGTTGCAAACTCTAGGGCTGCGTGCTGCCTGCCCTTCCTGTGCTCAAGGGCCAGAGAGGCTTGGGTTGTATGCTGCCCACCCTCCCCATGGTGTTCTGGGGCCGGGGAGGCTCCCATGGGGCACTGAAACCTTGCCCCTGTGGTGGTGGGGCCTCAGGCAGAAGGGGGCATATGAGGGCTTACCTCCCCCAGCCCTACATTCACTCAACACCCATGCCAATGTGCTCGAGCTGCTGACCACCAAAGAAGCAGCTCATATTTGCTAAATCAGAGAGCACTTGAAATACTAGGATGCAAATGAATTGAAAATACGACAGCTTTTTGCACCATTTTTCCATCCTAGAGATAGTATGTGGGAAAACTTAGACAATGCCTAAAAAGGACAAATAATATAATTAAATATGTTAACATTAGCTACGTTAAAGCACGCTTTATCAGTCCTAAGTATACACAGTATGAAATCCCTTTGAAACCTCATCCTCTCCGATGATTTCTGTTTTATCGCTACGCAAATGACAACTTACATGTTGTTTTCTCCAGGTGGGCCCTGACAAACAGTTCTTTGTGACGTACCAAATAAGAGAGAGCTCTTGTGCTGTTGGAGAAGATAAACGCTGGCAAGACTGTGATTACAGGCCATGTGCAGATGCGGTAAGAGCTGCTTTCTTTTTAAAAAAAAATGCCATAGCTGGGTAGCAGTGTAACTAGCAAGATAGCACACTCCTGGGGATAGAGTGCACTTCCGCTGCCAGTGATTCTGAAAATGCTACTGGAGGGTTCCATATTTATTGAGTCTTAGTAGAACTGAAGAGGAAGTACTCAGGTTACAAGTAAAATGATGCAACCTGGTTCCCCTCTCTTATTCCTAACTGGCAGCTATGCAAACCCAGCCTGATGTCCTCTAGTCAAGCTGGGCAATCCTTTCCGGCATGCTCCAGAAATTAAGCCCCAGCAGGCCAAGTTATGCCCTCATTGACAACTGTACAACCCTTGTTGCTGTCAGCGGATTGCAAGGGCAGAGTCCTCCTGTCCAAAGAACAGTTCAAGAGGCCATCCAAGGCCTCACACTTTTGGGAGCCCTGTGGCAGCTGCCTCAAACATCCTACAGAGGCGACCCAAGGGATGACTTGGAGCCAGGACCTTGTGTGGCGGCAGAAGGGGTTGTCCCCTGCACTCAGCCTCTCAGTGGCAGCAGGAAGCAGAGCGCCCCAGTCCTTAGGCATTCTGTTTCCTGCTGCCGTGGAGAAGTAGGGCATAGCAGACTGGGAGGGCAGCATGACTCTAGCTCCTGTAGCTGTGGGTGGGGGTGGCCCCTGCTGCTGCCACACTAGGTCCCTAGTGATCCCCTGATTCCAGGGACAGAAGAAGCCGCAGAGGGGGAAACGGATGGGGCTTGGAGTAGGAGTGGAGTGGGGGTAGGACCTGCACCCCTCTCAGGATGGCCATGTGCATTGGTATGAATGCTATCAGTTCGTATTCCTTTTCTCCATTAAACATTAGTTACACTTCCCAATTGTGTTTTATTATTGCAACAAACTACCACAGGAGTATTTCACAGCAATAAATACGGTGTTAAATGTATTTCTGCATCCGGTGGCTTAAAGACAAATGGTGTCATTTATGTTTGTAGGAATCAGGCAAATGTACGGCTCAAGTTTACGTTGACAAGAGCAAGAATATAAGTAACGTTACACAAGAATGCAGAATAATCACAGGTATGTTACTTCTCAGAGTGGCTTTATATACTTGGATTGAATAAAAAAAGAACTTCAAACTGCAAAAGAACTTTGTTGAGTTTCCAGGTAATTTTACCTTGTTTGCTGTGTTGTTGTAACTGTGTTCGTCTCAGGATATGAGACAAACAAGGTGGGTGAGGTAATACCGTTTACTGGACCAACATCTGTTGGTGGACAGGACAAGCTTCTGAGCTCTTCTTCAGGTCTAAAGAAGGTAACCAGAGTGACCCGACTAAATACCAGGTGGGACAGATGTAAGGGATTCACACATTTTACAGGAGACCACTTTAAAATGAATGAAACAATACCTCTGCAGTTACAGGACAATGGAAGCTTAGGAGGTACAGAGTGTGTTGCAAATTGTAATAGGGCATAAAATCAGCGTCTCTGTTAAGTCCAAGCCGTTCATGTCCAACAGAGTGATGAATTTAACTTCTCGGGCTCAGCTTTAGTAGGTGTTGTGCAGATTTCTTTTGAGGATACAAACTGCGGAGTGACTGCTTTGTGAAAAATGTTCACATTCTGGTGATATGGATTTTTGTTTTCTTATCATTTTTCTGTGTGGGTTCATTCAAGAGCACAGTGATTATCTGGTTTTACTCACGTTGTTGTTGGGGAATTTGACATGCTGGAGGTGATACACCGCAGGCTGTGATAGGCACACGTGAGAACTGTGGAATCACGGATCTTGAAAGGAGTGTTGTGAGTATACCGACCAGGACTGCCATGGAGATATGTCTGTAGGGTTTCCATGCACAGTTCTAGAAGGTTCTGCTGCTGTCTTGAGCCGACTTGTCCTAGTCTGTAGAGACCTTGCTTCTAATGACGAGTTCTAGTTGTAGGGTGGTAGGTAACAAGTAGAGGTGTGCAGTCGGTGGGTAGGTTTTTTCCATTCTCCCATTTGGGTGGCCCATTCCATGAGGCAATCTACCTCTCTGGTGGAATGTCCTTGTTTAGCAAAAGAGAGTTGAAGTGTGTTAAGGTATATACCCTGAATTTTAAATCTGTTCACTAGCAACAGAAATTGTTCCAAGAAAAGATAGCATCTATTTTGCTTCTCAGATAGCTTTAAAGGCAGAAGGCAAAACCCTGCATCATTCCATTGAAAACCTCAGACATCATTTTCCAGAGGTTAAAAACACATTAAAAATGAAATTCCGCTCCACTTTTTTATACAAGCACATGCTGTGCAAATGCCACTCAGTTATCATAAAAGAAAACCAGAGTCATGGGCAGTGTGTGACTCCTGAATTTGGGGAGGCTGGACCTGAGTGCCAGAAGCTCAATAGATATGTAGGAAGATACTGGCACGCTGACTGTCTTGCCCCCTGCAGCTCCTCTTCACTCCACTCCAGACCCCACTCCCACTTAGCCCATCCCTAGGCCCTCCCAGCCATCATTAAACCTCTCTGCTCTGTACATCCCAGAGGGCCTCCCCACTCCTGCTGCACACACCTTTCTGCCCTACAGGGCTTGCCCGCCTGCACTTCTCTGCCCCTTTAGGGGCAAGGAGGTACGAGTCGCAGGTGGTGAGGCAGCAGGGAGGAGCCAAAGGGGCAGCAGAGGCGGGTGGGTGCAGGGAAGCAGAGGAGAAGCGCAAGCCGAAGGTGTCACGGGGAAGAGATGTCAGAGGGACAGGAAGAGAAACTGTGTAGTTGGGGCCATGGGCAAAGAAGAACGTTGCAATGGAGCATGGGTGGAGCCATGGCCAGGGGACCCTTTCAGCAGCAGCACTCCAAAGATGCAGACCAGCAACGTGCCTCCAAAGGAAGGTGTGCCACATCCTCTCTGGGGAGGATAGCCTCAGGGTTCCCTGTAAGCTGAGCACTTGGGCGGCCACCCAGGAGCGATTCAAATGCCGCCCAGCTGATTAGCAGAGTGCCCACAGAACCCACAGCCAGCAGCATATGTTTCTACTGGCGGTGCACATTTGCACATGAATGAAAAAATAAGAGGGAATCTCTAGCCTCTCCTGGCCTTTTATATCTGCTGCTCATAACCAGACTCTGCTTGAAGAATATTTTTAACCCTTTACATTTCAGCCAAATCAAAACTGATTTTCACTGGCTCAAGGTCCATCAGTGACCTATCAGCTGGATCTCCCTCAAATTAGAAGGGTCTATCTTCAGCCCCTGAGGCACAGCTAATGTTCAAATAAAGACAGAAGAAAGTTTTGCTATATGCAAAAATGTATCTTTTTCACTATCTTCATATTAAAAATGGTTGAAACTGGTTTTGCTCAAATTTAAATCCCCACCCTCCACCAATGACTCTTCTGCCCAATGAGGAAAAAATCATTCCAAATAGTAAAAGACTGACAGAATTTTAATAATCTGAAAAGGGCCCTTTGGAATGGAAATATTTAAGCAATCTTAACAATAGTTGGTGACCCCAGCTCTGCTTGTAATCAGTGCATCCCCTTCATATGTGGTTATCAAATCCGTGCATAAATTCTTGCATTACAAAGATTGAAAACACCACAGCTGCGCTTCTTTGAGTGTCCATCTTTAAGTACCAACTAAATCATATTTTAGTTCACGCGCATTTGTAGGGCAATGGTGACATCTAGTAGCCAGGAAAGTTAATGTGCATTTCTTGGGGATGCATTTGATTGCATTTTTTAGAAAGTTAAAGCCTACATTTGAATCAAATGAAACTGCTGCACAGCATCAGAGGCACAGGTGCAGTTTTGGAAAAAGTGTAAATATTTTCTACTACCTGTGAAAAGAGCTAAAATTGTAGGTAAGGCCACAATCTGACCCACCGATTTTACTTAAATTCCATCGATATCTGATATTGTTTCATGTTGATTCTCAAGGTCATTGAATTACAAATTTAATTTATGCACTGAACTATGAAATTAGTTTATGAAAATTCTACCTGTGCTTACAAGACAGGAAGGGGAGTTAATAGGATTAGTGGCAGGAAACAAAGTCTGGAGCCTCCTCCTTCCAGATTGCCCATTCAAATATAGCCCAGCTTTGTGGTGCCTGAAAGTTGATTTCGCCTCGTAAGCACATGGCAGCATTTGTCAGAGCAATTTAGACAATGCGTCTAAGAGTATCTGGGCCTACATTTGTAGGGGAGATCCACGTTACAGTGGCTTACCTCCAAAGGTGCCAGCTGAAATGTTAATGTTGAGTTTTCCATTGCAGTATGGTGTAGAGCACAAACTGCTGCTCGTTGGCTGTGAACTATCTGGTAAAAACTACAGCCGCCTGAGGAATCTCCCTTTACTGCAGCCCCTTGCTGGGCTGATGGACGACTTTCTCTCTTGCGCAGTTTCAAAGCTGCATGATGTATTTTCACATGAAAAGTAGAGAAGAGCCTGAAACAAAATCTTCAATCCAAAGACTCCTGGACTTGGGTGGATGAAGGGTTTGGCATCTGTACTCAGATCTGGATCCAGATTTTCAAAGGTGCCCCTACAGCTATACTGAAATGCCTGGTTCTGGCCACCTTGAATGTTGGGTGGAGGGGAGGCTGGACTCTGAATCGATATTTTCTTGCCCCAGTTCTTTGTCAATGAAAAGGAATGAGGATATTTCCTCCTCAAACTCTCTCTCTTGATCACAAAAAATTTAGGAGCTAAACAACTGAGGCTGTTTTACTAAGCAAAAAGCTAAATTTTTTGGTTGGTCTGGTTTTTTTTAATCAGAACATGTGTGTCCTGGATGCTTTCACCCTATACCGGTAGACGACAAGGAACTATTACGCATTGTGAAACATGCTGTTGGGGTCTTTAACAACCAGAGTAACCACTACTTCCATTTTGACGTTGGTCAAATAATAAAGGCCACCAAGCAGGTTTGTATAGCAGGCTTTTTTTGTTTATTTTATAAAAGAGGATACTTTGGTTATTTGTATCTATCTACCTGCAGTTAATCCCATTTTACAGTAATAACATATGTGATATAAAAATAACATTTATTTCCTATAAAAAGGCTAACGGACTGGGTTTTAGTGGCTTCTGAACTGCTACTGCATGTGGTTTGTCCTTGTCTTCAATTTCAATGTTCAGCATTGGTACAGCTGCACACGTTACCAGGACAGAGAGCCAACAGCCACACGAGGCCCACGGGCAGGGGGGGATAATGACAGCTCAGAGCTCCCAGATGGGGCAGGGCCTCAAGTGAAAGGGGTGGCAACAGGAAAGCCAGCCTTCAGCACCAACTGTAGCACACCATGCACTCCCCAGAACATCAGCAGCAGCCAGGAGCCCCAGGTTCTTAAAAATCGCTAGGTCCTGGGATACTTCCCGCCTTTGCCTCACCTCTTCCACCTCCTGTTGCCCAGCCTTAGATGAATGTCCTGTTTTCACGGGTGTGGCCAAGTGTCCCATGGCCCCATAAAATGTGTATACAGCCGTCCATCCTGGCTCTCAGTGTTCTCTGATATTATTTAACTGTAATTTACCCCCAAATGTCTTCTTAACGGCCCAATAAGGAGTGGAAGCGTTGGTAATGCTACTAGACAATATTGACCTCCCGTGGTCTGGAAAATTCTCTGGTTCAGAACCGGTCAAGTCCCAAGAGTGCCAAATTAGAGAGGTTCAACCTGTATGCTTAAAATTCCCACTGAAGACCAAAATACAAAATTCATTTATGTCTCAAGGTGGAGTGTAGGCCTGCTATTTTTCTGGACCATTTTCCTTGGAATGGGTAGGAATGGTATCCCTAGCCTCTGTCTGTCTGGAAATGGGTGACAGAGAAGGGATTACGTGAGGATTACCTGTTGTGTTCCCTCCCTCTGGGGCATCTAGTATTGGCCACTGTCAGCAGATAGGATACTGGGCTAGATGGACCATTGGTCTGATCCAGTATGGCCGTTCTTATGTTCCTCTTTAGCCTTCTCTAAACCACAGACTATACCAGTTGGTGACAATATATGTTTGCAATGCACAGGCTAAAGTCATTCCAGTTGATGGATGCTTCTAGACTACAGAGTTCTGGACTAGAAAGGTTCAACCTGTACAAGGAATGCACCTTCAGATCCCCCAGTTTCAATGCCAATTTCTGTTCCATGAAAAGGCTATGTATCTGTGCCAGTGGTTCAGTTTAGGTACCGTATGACAGAGCTCACAGACATGTTTCTGGTTTGATTTTAAGTATTACAGTAAAACTCCAATAGTCCGGCATCCAATAGTCCGGCACTCCTGATAGTCCGGCATCAAAATGGCAAGAGCCTAGTGAGTGAGCTTCGGCAAAAAATGAGTCACAAGGTAACAGCGGCTGCAGCTGAACTGAGCAAAAAGGGTAAAAAAGGCTTTAAAAAACTAAAACATTACAGCATACTGTATACAGTATGTACAATAAAAAGGGTTAAGAACACTTTATATACAGTATATAATGTATACAGTATATATATATATATATATATA